TTAATGCATATGCATGCATGTATTCAGAGCGAACTAATGGTGACTACCGATCAATAAATTGTTGGGGTCAAATAAGTCACACTTCCACCAATTTCACTACGCGCAAAATGTAAGAAGCCGTTGCAAAGGCGAAAGGCCAATTTTCCACTCCAGTTATTGCAAAGCGTTCCAAATATTCCAGCCTCAGAAGTTGTCACAACCATTAAGCACACAAATCTTCGCGTTAAAGATAATGCAAATCTACTCAAGAAAAATTTGCTAAAAGAAGTTGCTATCATTTAGTAGTGTCGTAGCATTATTATAACATCAGGAATAAGGTCTGTGTTAATACAGCAGTCAGCCTATTGTAGCTAGCTCCTAAGCTTGAAAAGAAGAGCATCAAATTCCACAAGGTAGAATAATACACATTCGTCCGAACACATACCAAAGTGGGAGCGTACGGCATGCACACCCACTTGAATATGGCTCAACTGCGTGTGCTAGAAAAAAAACAAAACATTTAAATTAGGTCAAGTGTAGAGGTAAGAAAACACTAAACAAATAGCAGCAAACTTGCCACAATTGCAAAACGATCACATGAATGGATTGCATTTATAATGAAGCTGCTACCTTAGTGCTTGGAGTGCTATTTCAATTGATAAACATTTCTTGCAGCAAAAATGTCATTTAAAAAAATGCATCTGCTTATTTTCTTTAATACATATTTTGCATTTAAGTTAGCTACATGTAATAGAATGATTTACACCCTTGTTTGAATGCGCCGATAAGCCGAATATCACCGAGGTTGGTGCGGAGTTCAGGTGTGGTGGGTTTCGTCATTTCGCCGTCGTTATCGTTAGCTTTATTGCCCTCATAAATCGTTTTCTCATATGACTTGTTCATGTGTGGTGAGCGAGTGGGTGTCAGGTTTCCAGGTAATAGTAATTTTGCTGTTATTGAATCTGGTTTAGACTGAGCACTGCTGAAGCTTATGATAGTTTTGTGCGCGAAGTCAAATTCAACATCCATTTGGCTGTTCCTGCTTGAGATGTCGTCCTTTAGAAGGTAGGACATTGGCACTTTCGAGTCGCCGCATGAAGAGCTAGGCCAGGTTCGATGCACCTAGTGTGGCACTTTCTTCGTGCTATGAAGTGAAGTGCCGACAAAGCGTTGACGTAAGAGGCGTGGTATGTTTGGGTGGAGGCTTGTGGAATGTATATCGCAGCATCAATGTAATGTTCGGAGTCATCCAATAATGGCAAACTTGTAGTCGAAAATCGGAGATCTTATCCCCTGGGGAGCCGTTTCCATTTCACCTGGAGTTTGCACATGAGAAATATGGGACTCCAGAGATCTAGCAATCTTGTATTGCGATTGACGAATTCGTCTGTGTTGAGTGAGGAGAAGAATCGGCTTTCATCACCATCTGGGGCTCTGGAGTGCTTGTATCTGACTCACTTTTCTCTGCTTTGGCAGGCAGCAGTCGTGACTTGGATTTGTCGGAGAAGTGTTTCTTTTCTGCTGGGGGACTTTTGGAATCTGGAGGACCGGGAGTCCACTTATGACGGGTAATCAGAGGGAGGTAATGTCTACAAGTATTGGTGGGCGAATACAGCTGTGAGGAGCAGATAATGCGTAACTAACCTCTTTGTTGGTGCATTTAGGGTTAGGGTTAGGGTTAGGGTTAGGGTTA